TGTGTGTGTGTTGGCTAGGCACCCGGAAGAGCTTTGATCATCTCATATCAGACTCCAAAGCACCAAAGAGACCAGAAATGGAGTCAGGCATGACTACCCCTCCGAAGATGAGGCGTGTAGCAGAGAACGACTATGAGATAGGTGAGAGTATAGCACAAAATATTGATCCTAGCACATCCTTCTATGTTTGATGTTCAAGGACATATTCTATGTGATACCTGATTGTTGTAATTACAGAGACACAGAGAATTGGAAACTCTCACCTTCGCAAGGTGTCTGTATCAGAGTCCAATGTTCTGCTGGACGAGGAGGTGCTTACCGACCCAAAGATCCAGGCTCTGCTGCTCACTGTGCTGGTGAGGAAACACACCATACAGCTTACTTTATATGCTGTTACTTTTCAGCTCATGTTCACTTTTCACTGTTGTTGTTGTTTTTCAGGCCACCCAGGTCAAATACACCACTGATGACTTTGACCAGCGGATTCTGTATGAGTATTTAGCTGAAGCTAGTGTTGTCTTCCCAAAGGTTTTTCCAGTTGTGTAAGTAATGAACATGTCTAGTCCTGCTTATCTTGAGGTTTACTTTTGTTTGTTTGTTTGACCTGAAAAAATTGACCTTTGAATTTTTCAGATATTTTTTGAGTATAAAGGTAAAGTCTTCATGGTTATAACTGGGACCCAACATAAGCAGACAGGATCAAACGGCTGCTGCCAGTCTTCTGTTCTTGTTCAGATTAGGTGAAATTATCCTGGGATCTTTTTGGACAATGGTTGATTTTCTGTAGTGGTAGGCCAGGCTTCATTTTGGTCTTAGATAGGGAAGCTTTCCAATCCAATACTTTGCCAATCCACCCCCAGACTTATTAAAGAGCCATTGTTCCATATAGGAGGCAGCTTGCTCAGTCTTTTATATGAATGGTTATCAGCGCCTTCTAACCAATATTTTCAGTTAAAATGTTAGTTTTAACAAATATATCCTACATCAGAACAGACGAACTCTGCTATAGGTGTTTGCTTCACTAAGATTTTATAATACTGGAAGTTTTCTCTCATTTTTACACTCTTTGTGGTCATTGTCAGTGAAAATGTACCTCGATGCTTTCAATTACCAGTAAAACCCTTGAGCTTTTTGAAAGGCTAACTTGTATAACCACATAACCATTTGCCCCAATATTGTTTTCTCTGTTCACCCTCTCAGCCACAATCTACTGGACTCCAAGATCAACACTGTGCTATCCATGTGCCAGGATATCAATCTCCTGAACCCTGTCCACGGCATTGTCCAGAGTGTGGTGTACCATGAGGAGTCACCCCCCCAGTACCAACCTTCCTATTTACAAAGTAAATTTATTTACAAGCTCTACATGCCAGCCTTCCTAGTTTTTCACTTAGTTATGTCACCTGATGCTGACAGGTACTGAAAATGGATAGAAGCTTGTAGATATTTATTCACTGAGTTGTCTTCCCCTGTTCTTAGAAGCTAAAGAAAAAAGAAGACGATTGGACTTCTTTAACTTTATGAAGATGTTTCACTACTTTCATTCCCTTCTCTTCTTTTCTCTCAATTCACAGGCTTTGGCTTTAACGGACTTTGGAGGTTTGCTGGACCCTTCTCTAAGGTACAAATAACATTTTCCTCTTGTCAATTAGTTATTTTCACTTGGGCAGCTTCAGCTGCCTTGCAGTAGAATTTCAGCTTACTAAGGAAGTACACAGCAGATCTACAACCAGGTTGTCAATTGGTGTGTTGAAATATGAAGCATCAACTCTTGGAAGCACATGCATAAATACCAAAAAGTAGCAGAGAGGCTAAAAATTATCTGTGGTCTGCTTTCAAGTTGATATTGGATTATGCCGCTTCGGAAAAAACCCCAAAACTCAATAATACAGACTCCTGAATTGCATTGACAATGTTGATTAAATGACTAATTGACTGAATATTTATTTATTTTATTTATTTTTTTTAAACGTTGCCCATTTTGATATATTTTTATATTGAATGGTTCAGCATGGAATCCTAATGTTTACACTTCGACTTTTTTCTGAGGGTGACTGGAATGTTTTTTTAGTTTTGACATACCAGTTTAAGATCCTGGGAGAACATATCCTTACAAAACTTAAGTTTATACAGAAAGATGTTCAGGGGCCGTATGAA